TACAATAACCATTTAACAAAATAGTACAAGATTTTTTGTAAATGTACATTTCATGATTCTTTTGTCAATTACGGCAACGAAGCCATTGTGGGAAAACGAGGAGAACTCTTCTGTCTTCAAAGATACGTTATAAAAGTTGCCCAATAGGATATATTTAGATTTAAATATTTTTTATATTTATTTTATAAATCTATCTACTTTGTCTGATATTTCTTTCTAGCCCACTGGATCCATGCACAGCCATGTAAAGGTGGTACTCGCCAAGGACCTCAATATCAGGACGTGCATTCGCCCAGGGCACTTTTAAAAAAAAAAATTATAATGAGGGGTGGCATTTTTGGCAAGCTGAAGAGTTGTTTTTTGTTTTTGTTTTTTTTTTAACTTAGTGGTAGTGGGTGGCACAACTCTCTAGTTAACATATCGCAACATAATCCCTGGTCCGTAACGTTTTCCCAGGTCTGCTCATTATGAGGACACGTAACACATCAACCAACGCTTGGACATTGGTCGCTCTCTGTTGTTGGTGAAATTCTATAACGTGGTCCATTAATAATTAAATTAATATTATAACTTTTCTAAAATTCAAATGAAATCAATAAAGGTATCTAAATCATCTTGATTATGATTACTATATTAAAAAAAAAAGATGATCGACGAAAATGGCTTAAACAAAAAATAAAATTAGAAAGAAAAAACAACAACCTGCAATAAGAAAAAAAAACACAACTAAAAAGAATAAAACTATGAATCTATGAAATAAGGAGAAATAACACTTTTTAAAAAAAAATTCTCATACTATTATTGTTATCACACCCGGCTCCGAAGCCATTTAATTTATATGGAGCCACTCCGGGTCCGAATAGCCATTCGTAGTTATATGTACCTGGGTACCTAAAGATTTGCAACCTTTTTTTAATCGGGGGTATGCGGCCCGCTGGTGGTAATTGGTAGTCATATTGCGGCCCGCGAAGCTAGGTCAAAAGAACATAAATGTTAAATTCATTGTATATATCACCAAAAGAACATTATGTCGTGAGTCTTTCGTATCATATATAATATAACAAGACATTTGAGCAAGTACTGAATGGACTGGAAAACAGAGCATTACAATGCACTAGAAGAGCAAGTACTGAACATAACAATACACACTAGAAGAGCAAGTACTGAACATAACAAGACCTTAGAGCAAGTACTGAATAGACTGGAAAACAGAACATAACAATACACTAGAGCAAGTACTGAACATAACAAGACACCAGAGCAAGTACTGAACATAACAAGACACTAGAGCAAGTACTGAACATAACAAGACACTAGAGCAAGTACTGACCATAACAAGACACCAGAGCAAGTACTGAACATAACAAGACACTAGAGCAAGTACTGAACATAACAAGACACTAGAGCAAGTACTGACCATAACAAGACACCAGAGCAAGTACTGAACATAACAAGACACTAGAGCAAGTACTGAACATAACAAGACACTAGAGCAAGTACTGACCATAACAAGACACCAGAGCAAGTACTGAACATAACAAGACACTAGAGCAAGTACTGAACATAACAAGACACTAGAGCAAGTACTGAACATAACAAGACACCAGAGCAAGTACTGAACATAACAAGACACTAGAGCAAGTACTGAACATAACAAGACACTAGAGCAAGTACTGACCATAACAAGACACCAGAGCAAGTACTGAACATAACAAGACACTAGAGCAAGTACTGAACATAACAAGACACTAGAGCAAGTACTGAACATAACAAGACACCAGAGCAAGTACTGAACATAACAAGACACTAGAGCAAGTACTGAACATAACAAGACACTAGAGCAAGTACTGACCATAACAAGACACCAGAGCAAGTACTGAACATAACAAGACACTAGAGCAAGTACTGAACATAACAAGACACTAGAGCAAGTACTGAACATAACAAGACACCAGAGCAAGTACTGAACATAACAAGACACTAGAGCAAGTACTGAACATAAGACACCAGAGCAAGTACTGAATATACTGGAAAACGCAGGTTTGACAGCACGTCCAACAAAAATGGAAATTTGCTTCACAGAAATCGAATTTCTAGGTCTCATAGTTGGACAGGGTCCACAGAAGCCAAAACAAGAATGGAATGATATGTTGGAGCCATGGGCGCCCGCAGAAAACTTTCTAGGGGGGGGGCAAAAAATCGATTAACTTTCCGTGGGGGGGGGGGGATTTTTTGTAATGTTTAAATATATTTTTAATTTACTGTGGCGTATTTGTATGGTGAACGAACGGACAGGACATCAGCTTAGTTACTTTCTCTTTATTTTCTCTTTACTTTAACAAATTTTTTGTCTATTTTTGTCCATAAAAATGTTATCCAATCTATCCAGGGGGGGGGGAAGTGCCCCCCTTGCCCCTACCTGCGGGCGCCCATGGTTGGAGCAGACCAGGACCCTACATGAGATGTAGCGCCACCGATGAAGATATTTCAGACTTTTGGGTGGGAGGCGCTAATATAGATCTAATAATAACAGGGACAGCTCTAACTCTTCCATCAGCCCAAAATGAACTAAATTCAATCAAGTTGGGGGCCCTTAAGCGTATGCTTTTTGCAGATAGATACTGCCTAGCTTAGTCTCACCATTTAAATTTGTATTGTCCCCGCAAATTTTTTCATAAATTCACAATGTATTTTTGTGAATAGTTAAATTTAGTTTTGCATCATTATAATATAAACTTAAATGGGGAGCAACGGGAGAAATGCTAGTTAAGATTTTAGGTGTCGCTTTACCTGGGAGCCATCGTGTAGGCCTGCATATGAGGCCTCGTATGTTTTAGGGGATGGAATATTGCAGTAAATACTTTTAATTGTGAACTTTCGTAGGGAAGGACAGAACCAAAAAGTAGCAGAGAGGCAACAAATAGGCGACGTCTCTGCTTGACCAAGTGTATACTATTAGGCCTATATGTTTTATATTACCGGTAATGAATAGGAATGTGCTTTTTTTTAAGTTTTGGGGATAACTACTTAAAAAATAAATGAATTTACAAAAAAAAATGTTTTTTAAAATATAATGTATAAAAATTCCTTCCAAAAAAGGTATCTATCAAACAAAAAAATTCTAAAATAATTTTACATGTTGAACGAAAAAAAAAAAATGCGTTTATTTCTAAATATTTCCAAACTTTATCCAAATCAAAAAGAAACAAAAAATCTTTTGAAGCAAGGGCTAGTCCTATACATTTTTATGGGTTTTCAAAATTGGTATTTTTTATAAATCGTATATAACTGGCATAATTATGTAGAAGACATGCGTTTTTTACATAAGAGATCATATATTTATTAATGTGTGATTTTATGTGAGGGAAATCGTATAAAAATAAAGTTTAAATTCCCAATAATATTAAGTTGATTGAAATGTTGATTCAGATTTTCAAACTACTATAACTTTCTTCCGATCAGTTACAAAACTAGCATTATCTTGCAAATTCCTTTTTTTTTTTGGTAGTAGATAAAAATAAATTCTATGGAATTGGTAAAAAAAAAAAAATAAATAAAGTAGGATATATCGAAGACAAAAAATTTAATTTTTTTTTTTTTAAAGTTGTTTATCTATAGATCTAGATCTAATATAATATTCTTTCTACTGGATTATCATATTAAAAAAAAAAAATTTAAAAAATGCGTTGAAAAAGCTGGGGAAGATTGTTTATTATTCTGATATTTAAGAAAAGTTGTTGTGGATTTAATTTTCATACAATTAAGGCAAGGCCGGCAAGGCTTAGATTATTTTTTTTTAAATTCATTTTCCTCTGTTGTTCCCAAAACTTACAAAATTTAGAAACGCACCCAATTTAATAATAAGCCGTCCAAGCAGTTGTTAATGTGCGCTATAATTCACAGTTTAAACAAATATTTCGTCATTTAGAGATTTATTGTTTATTTTTCATTATTTCTTATTTATTCTTTTTTAAATTCAATTTTTATCATACTGTCTCAATGATTCGTAGACTTTTTTATTGTTCCAAAATTGACTTTATAATGCTGATAGTGATAGCCAACTGAAATGAACCATGTTAATTCTAAAAATGTGGTTTGAAATAGCATTCCATTGATATTTTATGAAATTGTTTCGGTCCGCAATAATCAATGTTTGCAATTGTCCATGTGCGGAATTTTAGGTGTATGCATTTGTCCATGTACGCTGTTTTCCTTGAGCGCAGCTACGTATTTGCGGATCTTTCTGTTTTGTGCGCATATGCCTGGTCACTGTTATTTCACCTGTGTGGTTATATTTTTAAAACGTCATAGTATTAATAAATATGTAAAAATGTTGATCACATGGTGTGTGGTGTGATCACACGGTGTGTGGTGTGATCACATGGTGAGTGATGTGATCACAGGAAAAGAGCCCAAACAATCCAAAGAAGTTCTGTGTCATAAGTCAAAGACAGGAAGAATTCCATTTTCAAACCACATTAGCAGACCTCCATCTCCTTACTTATAATAACTACAATTATAATTCTACAACTAGCTACTAGTATTATTATAGACCCTTACCAACCTTATGTTTTCCATTCTTCATTTTAAGTACGGTACGGCCAATTGAAATCCAACGTTCACTACTGCAGTTATCAATTATCAACTCATCATGACTACAAATTTCTTGACCAAAATTGTCTAATTCTAACACAGGTGTTCATCTCATTACAAGTGTTCCCTCCCTCTCCTCCTCCAGTACTATGCATTTTCTCCTGGTGTCTAATCCAAACCATAGAAATAGGAGCTCATTTATGAGTAAACTATAATTTAAATTTCTTACTGTTTCCCTTTTTGGCAAATGAAACAATTCATGGCCAGGACAGACAGTAGACATGCTAAAGAATAATATATAAAATACAGAGATTTAGTTTAAAGTGAAGTGAAATAAATGACAGTAAATAAACACCACTAAAATAGTAAGAAACATGAAAATTAAAAAAAAAAACTTAAGATCTAAGAAAAGTCGATAACTTCAGCTGTTTTATTTTACAAATGACAATGTAACATTAGTAACATACATAAAATAAAAAAAATTGTGAAGAATCAATGACATTACGTCCCATATCATAAATAATGTTTGCTGGTTATGGCGGACACGGTTGTGTTGTCATAAATGTGAGAAGGTAACCACCTGTGCCACTCATGTTGATTGACGGACGAGTCTGTTGGGGGAGCACCTGTTGGACCATAAAAACCAGCTCATTTCATTTTCGGTTTCTTTTAATAAACAATAATATTTTATGACATAAATTTAATTATTTAACTTTATTTACAAATCTCATCAAAATAGAACATAAATATATAACTGAATTCTATTAGTTACAGTCTATCAAAAATATATATATAACTAAAGTGGCATCTTATGGAATGGGCACCCACCTGGGCCCCTCTTTTAACGTAAATGAAAAAGGGTTATAGTTAAAGGTTTAGAATACAGTATACACTTCAACATGTATAGATCGATTTGGCCAAAGTTGACTTGAAGTGTGCCTCATAGAACTGGATCACCTAGGGAACTCAATCCCAGTGGGGAATGGGATCCCACTAGAGTATCAGAGATCATATTTTATTTTAATTGATAAAAGCTTTTTTCTAAATGCTGTATGGGCTAACACCGGGTACATTGGCTAGTTTCCTAAAATAATTAACTACTTTAGGTTAATCAAATGCTTCATTTTTTAGTAAGCCCATTTCTGCCTAAACCTCTTTTTAGGTAAACCCTCAAATTCGACAATTTATCGAGCATAAAAATGATTGAAATTCAATTGCCATTATAAAAAAATAGGATACATATACAGAATAACTTTTAATTATAATAATTGAAGTTGAACATTTTCACATTTTTACACATTCTCTGCCATAACCCTTTTTAAATGGCTTGTTTGATTCCTTCATGATCTAAGTTGGCAAATAAACTTCTCAAGAACTTGTGAAGTCATGCTCAATTTATAACTCTTGTCATTTAGCAACAAATGAAGATTAAAAGAATGTTCAACTAACTAATTTAAGACTGACTGTCATCTAATGACATCTTTTGTTCATTTTTTTTTTCATTTCTCTCCGCCTTATTTCATTACCTGGTACTCTCTGAACCATGTTTCTGATAATTTCAGTTGCAGGCCAATTTGTTTTTCTTTTATCACAGAGTAGCATTCCACCAAAGGCTGAAAGTTTAAAGCGAAAATAAAGAAAATCAAATAAACAAAATTCTTTCATGTCAAAACGATTATATTATTTCTAGGTCAAAGGTTATTAGATAATTAAAATCAAGGGAAGCTACTTCATTACAACAAATATTCAAATATATTTCCCAGTTATATACCCCTAGCTTACAATATTCAAAGCAAATAAAATTTATCTCAGTACTGGCACGGTTACTAATAAAAAGGAAATTACTGGTTATTTTTTTTAGCTAGTTTAAGATGTAAGATTATTTAGTAGCACCTCTATAAACTGACAGTAAACAACCACAGGCCGAGATGGCGGCACAAAGTCTAAGAGCTTCATCAATATTGGTGTTGGATTATATTTGCAGGCAATGACCAGACTGAAAGAATTTATGAAGACACAAGTTAATGCATTATATTGGGGCATAATAAAGTTAATCCATTTAAGTAATGGTTTTAAACCTTTTTGACTTGAGACACATTAAAAGTAATTACAGTACTGAAATTCTACAACACACCATTGAAGAATTAAAAATATCTGCTTTTTCATCATTGTAAATGTTACGGATTATTGGTCCCATTCTATGTGTGCAATAGCAAAAACATCATAAAAACACTTACTGGTGTGTTTAAACTCACCAGTTAAAAATTGTTGAACTTAAATATATATCAAAAATCAAGGCTAAAGAGCCTTATGGCCTTCTTTCATAACAGTTGATTGATATAAAATGTATAACAATAAACTGAACTCCACCTGTCTAGTTTTTTCTCTTTAATGATCATAGACGCTACTTTCAATCGTTCAGCTCTTTGTTGTCTTTTGATGTCTCTGGCTGCCTCCATCTGTAGATATGTCAAGAGTTAATGTTCAGAACATGCATTACAAGTTTCGAAATAGGTAAGTATGTTAAATAGTATACGAGGACGTGGATGAAACGAGTAAAAAGCCATAACAATTCATAATTCAATCTAACATACATTAAATTTACATACCTCTCGTTTAGTATTTAATGCTTGTGACACTGTGCTATCTAACATTTCAACATCTGCACCATTTTTTTTTTCATCACCCACAAGTTTTGTATCAGTCAATTCCTTTAAAGATTGATGTTCACCTTCCAGGACCTCCTCATCAGCTGGTAATTCTAATGATTGATTAGGTTTACACTCCTGTTTAACATTAGAATCTGAAAAATCTTCATCTGTTGTAGCTGGTATTAAACTGTCTAAACCCAATTCTTGTGTTTGTCTTTTTACTTCAGTTTCTTGTAGGTTTGACAATGCAGTTATTGGAAGATAGTAGAAATTTGAAAGATGGTCTTTAGGGAAGTTGAAATAGTCCATCACTTGACTGTAATTGAGAAAGAGATTTTTTTAAAAGAAACATTGAAATAAACTAATCTGAAAAGCAATCAGTTCGGTTACTTTCTTCTCCAGCTACTGACATTTGTCTTAAGTTTAATAATTGCATTAAATCTTTACAGCAAATGAATATTTTATCAGCATTTAATCACTATATTTTCTAAGTAAAGATTGTAGCATTTAATTATTATTTACAGCAAAGATAGAATTCTCCACTAATGGCATTATCAATGTAGAATCAGTTAAAGGTTGCATTAATGAAAAAAATATAAATTTTGTTGTTTAACCATTATATGTCTCCATGTACTCACCGGCACATTGTGTCATTGGTGTTTGGAATGAAGTGAATTAGTTTCCCTTGACCTGAAATAGTTCACACAAATGAAAGACACTTTTGTGAGGGTGAGGAAAGATAAATTAATTTGTCTGTAACATGACTTTAAATATATCTATAAGTTATATAAATACAGTATCACGTTGGTAATCCAGTGTGCCAATAATATGGATTGCCCTAAAGAAAAATATTGTGACGTGATTTAAAGTGAACCCATTCCAAGCTTAAACATGAACAAATTTTAAAAGCTTAAGCATGAACAAATTTTAAAACCATGTTTATTTTTAGGTGCCGTAATGCGAGTATCTTTTTACAAGTCACCTCAACATTTACGACACCGATTAAAAACGTGGTTGCCAAAAAGAAAACGAAGCACAAATCTTATTCAAATAAAAACCGTGACAGACTTTTTCGCTTAATAATTACATGTACAATAGTTTATTGGTTTGAAATATAGTGCTGTGGGCATATTTTGTAGGTTTTGACTCGGGTAGTTTTTTTCTTTTGTTTCTTTCTAGTTTTCCAATAAAATAGTTATTGTAAGCTAAATTGATATTTTTATATCTAATTTACTGAAGTGAAGATACCAGTCAATAATCAGGATGGGGGTTAAGTCAAGATAATGGATGTCTTATTGTAATTTATAAAATGACTAGTTATTGCTCATCAAACAATGGCGGCTACAATGAGTGCACTTTCCATCTACTAAAGTTACATGACAAAAAATGCATTCAAGTAACTCACTTTATAAGATTCTCAAATAGTGCTACCCACACCTCCAGGTACGCCCTTGCCCCCGAACTAAATTAATATTCCAATGTCCCACCCCCTTTTATACAGCAGATTTATTACACCTGTTTAAATTGAGACTATTTCCATAAAACAAAAAAAAATATTACGCACCAAACGCACTTTCAGTATTTGTAAGAATCTCAGTTGGCGCAGTTATTATTGTAATTTTATTTTGAACGCTTTTGAACTCACCATTAGACCATACTTCCTTTCATACCTAGAAAATTAAATGTATTGATTATAGATTAAATTTATCTCTAAATCATTTACATTGATTTGACCAGTATGGGTAAAAAGCCATGTAGGAGACTGTGATTTAAAAAATACTATTTGGCACACAAAATCCAAGTTTCATAATCCTTGTTCTAGTAGCATTCAGTATATATAAATATTTTGATTCTACATACTCCATACTTGTATTCATTTTATTTAAATTTTGATGAACTGAGCACATCAATATGTAATTGGTATGCCACCCCAAGCCAACCATCCAATGACATAATCTGTATAGTATATATAACTATTAATATTTATAAAAAGTTTTAAAATTGAGTTACCTCCCATTCTTTCTAGCAACGCAGCAAGGACGAGTCCCTGACACGTTTCAACAACACCAACATGGCTACCCCACCTAACGTTACTGTAGCTTAATAACTGGGACAAAGTGTCTGGTCTCATATTGCTAGTGAGAGAAAACATTGTAATTAATAAACATCAACAATTTTATGTGAAATGACAGAATACAGTGTTAAGTTAGAATGTCTCAGACTAAAGTTATTTTTGTTTGGTTAAAAATAGTTTTCATAGCATCAAAAAAAAACACCCTTTGCCAGATTTTCTGTCTTCACTGTGGACTGGCCAAGGATTTTAATAGTTAACAGTGTCAAGGTTGATTAAATGCTAAATAATATAAGCTTAAGATCTTTGTTATTTGTAACATAAAATTAATTAGAAAACTAATTTTTTTTTTAATTTTTAGTGAACAAGTGTATTATTTGATTCTAGAATAAAATTCCTACCATATCTTATTTGGTTCTTTAGAAAATATCTCCACAACAAGTCTTGTAGTTGGTCTCAACAGTTTGAACCTGAGAATATGCCTGTAGAGAATATTATAGGGTGCAATGTTTAAATAGAGTAAAGCAGGATACTTATCTGGAGGGTGGGTTTGTTTACAAAAACAACACCTCAACTCAGTTCTCAAGATGAAGATTACACAGGTGCCAAAGCTAACATTTACACAGCTTAATTCTCCTTTCTTGTTCTCACTTTTATATTTCTTTCATTCTTGATTCTTTGTCTTTGGGGTGTTTTTTTTGTCTTCCTCAGACATGCTTGCATTAATGATCTAAACAAATCTTTGCCCTAATTTATGCTGCATTTTAAACTTCTAATTATATGCTATCTTTTGAATAGTTGAGCACTGCCAATTCGTGCCTGGACATAACTACATATTAACAATAAATTAAAAGAATGAAATGCTTACTTTTGCTTTTTTTTCTTGAGATACTTGGCTTGTGAGAACTGTGTCTTTGTTTTAAAAGTTTCACTGTTTTCTATCAGTACTTCAATTATTTTCTGAGAATAAAAATTGCAAATATTTGTAACAGACTGTTAGTTTTTATAAGGTAGTGCTTGTTTTATTAAAATATGCTACTTAAAAAATGAAAGGTGACCTTCCCTAAATCATAAGCTGTAACCTAATCAGATAAAATTAATTTTTATCCATAAAAAGTATATTGCATGCGATCTGCGTACCGCTTTTCTTGTAATTATGTGAACAGCATTTCACACAGTATAAGATCATTCACTACCACTGAATAGAACTTTACTGTAGTAAGTGCAATAGTTACCTCTCCTCTCACTCCATCTTCCTTCATTTTCATTATGTCATCCAGTGACATCTTTTGGTTGGAATCAGCATCCAGCAGATTGCGGTTGTCTGCTCCTGTGACCTCGGCTGAAGAGTATAAATGAAATTAGATACATTTCACGTCGAAAAAAACATTTCCAGTAACTTATTAATCAATGTGATGTAAATCATCTACTTTATTGGCATATTTTCCTGGTGACTGATAAAATCTTATTTTGTTTCTATCTTTAAAACAGAACAATAAAGTTAAAAAAAAACAAATGCTTTTGTATTTAAAAAAAAAAACCTGACAAGAGCTAACATTTTATTGTGTCAAGTTTCCAAGGTATCTTACGTACCGGTAGTCAGAAAAAAATTATCTTTGCACTGAGACAGATAAAACATATAATGTGTATTATGTTGCATTCAGAAGGTGAAAGTAATTTTATATCCTCAAAAAATTGTATTTGTGTAAAGCACACCGGACTAGATTAAAATCTTTCCTCATATCCATTGTTTTATGCCACTTTTCCACACTTCCATTCCAGCAAAACATTTATCTCACACTTTCACCACTGGTTCCATTTATCCAGGATAATTTGGAGTAAGGCCATTTATCCAGGATCATAAAAAAAAAACATAGTCAGTTGAACTAAGGCCAATCATAATAAGAAACATAGTCAGTTGCAATAAAGCAAATCGTAACATAAAAAACAGTATCACTTGACGTCACTTGATTGTAAAAACAAATAATTTTTAATGGGGATAAAAAATTGACAAAGGTGAACAAAAAGTTAAACTTTAGTACAGCCTACAGCTGATATTTTACAAGATGATTTCATAGTAAATGTAGTTATGTCTAATGTAATTATAACCTCCTCCAATCTGTAGCTCTGTAGCCCTGCTTGACTCCACCTTAATAATTTTTCCTCTTTCAAACTCAAATGTTGATCCAAATGGCTGTCCAATCAGTTCATCAACACTAAGTTTAGCCTTTTCAAAGAACACCTGTCTGATAACAAAAATAGATTCAAATCAATCAAATGAAATATTTTGTTATTAGGGCCTATTGAACTGTTTAACATTTATAAGTAATATAAAAATGTATTACTTGGATTAATTGATTCATTTAGTTGAAATTGACGATTTATCTTTTTATTTTACCATTTTCTCTCTCTCTCTCTAAATTTATATATATATATACATATAAGATATATAGTCCAAACTGAATATGACCAAAAAATAGTATGTCAATTATTTTAAGTTAGGGCCTTTCCATAAATTTATGTCAAGAGTCTAGGGGGAGAGGGGCACATTTTTGTGACGATGTGTGACGAGGCAGAGGGGAAATTCTGTCCGTTCCCAAGACACACACTAAAACTTATGGTGAACAATCTTTCTCTTTCTGCGCCCCCAAACAGTGGAATTCTTTGCCACTTACCACTTTACATCCGCAATATACCAAACCCCCAGGCCTTCAAAACTGCACTCAAAACACATTTCTTTAAACTATACTACCATGACTGATTCCCCTCCTCTGACCGATAAACAATCCTGCTGGCTGCCGTCCATGGTTTGCCATGTAAAAGTTCTGGGGTGGGTGAATATACATTTGTTTTTGTTGTTTTGGTTACACGCTGTTCTTTATTTCATAAATGTATTTTATTTTAATGTCATAGAATTAGGACTACCAATGAATTGCAGCACTGCAGGCCCACTCCGTTTTATACAACCCCCTCCAAACCGTATAAATCATATTGTAATAAAATTAAAAAATAATTAATAATTTAGTTAATCATAATTTTATTTCTTTGATTAACTTTTTATAAATGTCACAGAGTGACTATTAAGCCAAGGTCAGCCATAGTGAGTTAGAGAGAGGGACAAGGGTAAGGGGGAATAATTAAATACCATGCATGGTGGAGGGTTCAGACCTGGATGCCACAGGGTTGGGGGTACCGACCGACTAAAAAGGCCGGCGTGTCAGCCGGGTTACCAGCCATCTGACCAGGAGCTAGCTTATCAGATTTCCCTGGAACGACTGTTGCGCTAGGGGGGTTTAGGACCATTTCAATTGTTTGCAAATTTAAGTACGCGAAGATTTGGGAGTCAGATTACAGACATGGGAGGGAACCTCCATGGGCTCAGGAATTATAAATAGGGACCGTTGGACAGGACTGGGCGAGAACACAGCCAGACAGGGTAGCGGACAGTCAGGGAGAGCTCCGTCGGTAGAAGTAGAGGACTGTCAGAGTTACCATCCACATAAAGTGGTTAGGCATATATATATCGACAACGTTTGGTAGACACCACTGACCACACTTTGAAGAACATTAGAGAGAGGTAAGTGTATGTAAGGTGTGTGATTAAAGAAGCTGTAGGGTGGTTTGTGTGATCGAGAGTTACGTTAGGTAGACGGTAGTAGTTTAGAAGACGACGGTGAGTATCTAGTTGGAAGTTAGGATTGATCACATGGTGTAGGGGATTTATTCATATATTTCAGGAATAGTCGCCCTTTATATTATCGTGAGAGTAGATGCTAGCAGACCGACCATCTCAAGCACTTGGCAGTGAGACGAATGTCCATAGTTCCATACAGATGCTAGATGGAAGACAGTCCCACTAGACACCACCATTAGAGTCAGTAGCGTGTCGAGGGAGTCATAAACTAAAGTGCCTGTATCGTGCAGTCGTAGTCCGCAGATGTGCTTTGAGTGACTGAAGTTAAAGGACAACCATTATAAGCGTCTTAGTGTATCTGTTAATATACTTAACTATTACATTCATCATATGTTATGGTATATGCATAGTTTGTTTCATGTCAGTTACTTATACGTTTTAGATAATAAATTAGTCTTGGCTATTTTAAGTTAATTGAAGACTTCTTTGTTTATTGTATGTTTATTGTGTTTCCTTGTTTTGTACAAACAAGGTGTGTCAGAAAAAGGGTAGAATTTAGACCCAAGCATTACGTAGCGTGAAAGAGCTCGTGACAATAAACTAGGAAAAATATTACCAATACAAGTAATGTGCAAACAAAATTTACCAGAAAAACATTTATTGCTGCTAATCAAAGTGCATAAAAACTGATTTTGGCTAATTTAGAGAGATAGCACCCCGACATCATTTGCGTGTTTTGTCCCTGGTTCCGATAGGGTCAAAACTCTGGCTCTGATAGGCTGATAGGGTCAAAACCCTGGTTCCAATAGGGTAAAATCCAGGTAACCCAGGTTAGGGATGTTTAGGATTCAGGTTAGGTTTAAGGATAGATTTAGGGTTCAGGTTAGGTTTAAGGATAGATTTAGGACATAAGTTCGCGGGTCACTCCAACCAAGATGGCGGCCACAGTGCTATCTCTCCAAATTTACCCTGATTTTTTTAAACAGCAGCAACAACTAGCAATGGCAGCACACACAATTTTCTGAACTTCCGCATCAAAGGGCTTTTATCCCAGTTTGAAAACTACTGTTCTGGTGAAATGTATCTGACACAGGTGCAGTAATTTGATTTCCAGAGTGACGCATATTATGGGGACCAATGGGCTAGCCAAACTGTCGGCGGTATAAACCCGCAACACATTTTTTTTTTATTCCTGTGACCTCACACTTATCTATTAATCTATTTGATTTCTTTGATCTTTGTATGGGGATGGGGGCTAAAAGTTTCTTGTTTGTACGAGTTTGGAAAAGGGGGGGGGGCAAAAAAAGTAAAGAACAACACCCCCCACCAGTATGGTTCTGGTAGAGACCATTTGTGTCTGCACTTGGCATCCATAAAGTCTGGTTAGCTTATCTTAGTCTAAAAGGACAGACTTTTTAATTTTAGTAGGCTTAAAATTTCAACTTTTTCAGCTTCTTTACTTTGACTTTAGTATTAGTATTAGTAGAAGTAGTTAAAAGTAGGCTATTCAGTCATTATTGTTTTCTTTGATTATGACTTATTCTAACTGAATCATCATTGATTGTAGTGACAAGTAGTAGTAAAGTGTGTGTGGGGAACTGTGGTGACAATTTAAAATTATGAGATAGGATTGTCCTTTCAACTTTGTAACTTTTTTATTTATTATTTTAAAGTAAAAACAGATATATGACATGCCTGGCTTATATAGGCTTACTGATACTGCGTTAAAATAAATTACCGATTTTTTTTCATCTGAAATACTCTTGTTGCTCCGTCCCGCTTGAAAACTACATAGTCTCCTTCTGAAACAACTGAGTTTGACATGTTTACAAATACAGGGCTATATTATATATTAAATCCTGTTTCTATTTTAGCGTGGTAGTCATTTAGTGTACCCAAGAGTTATACTACCGAGACTTGAGTTAAATCTCTGTGAATTTCAAGACAACATGTTGAATTCAAGTCTGGACACCTATTATACTGAAGAATATCCCTTGATTTAGCACTCTAGGTCCTTGTGTAAATACATTTAAAATCATTTTTTGGGTTGTAGTGGCTTATATTTTCAAATAAATACAGCAAGCTACATGTTTTATTATTATTTTTTTTAAGTTTTGCATACGATGATCTAGATTCTAGATAATATTGAAAAATCCCTTACTTATGTAGAATTTAACATTTGGGTAAATAGTTTGACTTTTAAAAGGGGGAGTACTCTAATTGAAGTACCTTACAGCCATTGTAAATAAAAATCATTTTGAAAATTTTACGAAAGTAACAAGTAATGGAGGTTCTACCTCTCCATAAACATAAAGAGTATTTAGAAACATGTATTGAAATATTAAATGAATTTTGGCCTAGATCGAAGTCTGCGAGGTAATACGAATATACTTTCATTTAAATATGTCTAGCCTGGATTAGAGTTAGAGTTAGTGAGTACTTGACTTAAGTTTAGTCTTATTAAGTCTTAGTTTAGAGTTTAGTCTTAGTACTTAGATTTAGACATGAAAAAAGAAGGTAAGGTGCAAGGCCCGGCTTAGGCGGATTTAAATTAAAGCAGGCTATCAATAACTATAATAAAGTAATTTAATTTAATTTTTAGGCCCCTTTTTAGACTAAGTCAGTGAATATGTGACTAATGTAAGAGTTCTTACTTCTTAGTATTAAAAGATTATGATAGGTTTAGTCAGTTTAGACTAAAGTTTAGAGGTCAGTAGTCCTGAGTAGGTGGGATTAGCGGTTGAATAATCCCCTCACAATAATAAATAACAGTGAATACTGCCTACGATAGCCATTCATTTGACAACTTATTTAAACCAACAGATTAATATTGATAGATACACAAATCCGTAAAATAATGTCAAACTATTTTCAATGTTTTGACAACCCTCCCCCATTTTTACAAATTTGTCACATAATTTTAGACACCCTCTCACAAATTTGTAACCCCTTCCCACCACCCTTTCTGGATGCATGATGTCGTGTGGGTGTCACAAAAGTTAAATTTTTTCTACATCACAATTTTTGGCCTCTTAATTATCCAAGCCCCTTGCTCCTGCAGCCTCAGGGGTTGCAAGTCCCAAACGATGACTCAGGCTGACTGTAAACTAATCTCTATAGAAGAGATTAAATTATTTGAATTTTTGAAAATAAAAGCAAATCTCTCATTCTTTCATCAATCATACTTATAAAAGAAAAATTCCAACCGGAAGTGTGCAAATGCAGCACAGACTTTGAGTGGCATTGTAAAATGTAAGCTTATGAGTCATTGGTTTCATCAGTTAGATAATGTGGTTTAGATATATTTTGTTCTCATATTATAATATATTTAACTCTTTCGCTGCGGAATTTTTTTATCAAAAAAATGTACATTTTTTTCGAAGAGCGGAAAAAGAGTGAGAGGTTGGGTTTTTAAAAAAAATATTTAAAATATTATTCTTTGGTTTATAAGTCTAAACTTAGTGTCAAATGAAAGGTAATTAAAAGGACTATATATTTGTACACTAGTTTCTACAGTTTAAAAAAAAAAAGTTACACGAAAGAACCATAAAATGTGAAAATATTTTATGCTAAACCATTTTTCCCCAAACCCAACAATATACGCATACCTCATCTTCAATTCTATAACTCAATTCCTCTAAAACTACTACCATCGGAATCATGCGATGCATCTAAATATAAATCATCTTCGCTGTCAAAACAAATATAAAACAATTCAAAGCTTTTTTAACTGTTAATCGTCTAGGAAACGTACCTACTAGAGCCTAGGGTAGCCATAGCAACAGTAAAAAAAAAAAAAAAAAAAAAAAAAAAAAAAAAAAAAAAAAAAATAACAAAAAAAAAAAAAAAAAATAATCGTCAAAATAATGCTTCAATTGACAATAAATAAGCCTTGGTTTCGATTGTAAACAATGAAGTACCACTCTTCTATGTAAAAGTCTTATTTAAAAATAGCTCTTAAAAAGTTTAACCGAGAAATAGCAAAGAAAGAAACAGCGCTTTGGTCCATGCTTTTGAGAACGGCGGAAGAACGCAGTGTGCGTTGTTCCGCATTGAAAGAGTTAAAGCTAAAACTCTTTTGGTGTAATTCATACAGTCTGTAATTTAAAGGTTTTGAATTTGTTGCACATTAGTTTTAAACTTATCAACAAGAGATCTTTGTTGTAAAATTTAAATATCAATGTTTCTCTTTTAAATTAGTATTTAAATTAGTATCTCAAATCAGTTATGCTATCGCTTTCCATTTTCTGAGCTGAATACCTTTCAGTTACAAGATATTTGGCTCATTTAAGTTATCAACTTCTATAAAATATTTGGAAGTTAAATGATTAGTAATAGATGCAAGGCTCTCTATCTGCTGCTCAAAACCAAGTTCTGTATAAGGAGGTTTGGCAGATAAAACCTCGGAGTAGGTCCCCTTTGTTAAGCCACAGAAAATAATTGTCAGAGTTTGATGTGCAATAAGAAGTAAAAATACCATGAGTTTAAAAGGTCAGGTTTCTTTATTTATCAGCTATGTGTGCAATACGGTCCAAAAATTGCATATGAAAAAAATTACTGACGTTCTGAATAAATACTAGTGTCTAAAAAAGGAGAAAAAAAAACTACACATCTATCACAAAAAATTATTTTAACTCCTATCAAAATAATAATAATTTCACTTCTATCACCACAAAAGTATCAACTTACGTGAACCAAATAAACACAGCTTCTATACTATATAATGTTTCCAATCATCACTCGGTGGCCAGATGTGGCTGAGTTCAATTCATGATTAAAGGGAACATTATAATTAATTGTTCACTCATTTAATTTAAAAACGTAAAACTACTGCGCATAATCTGACTGTGACTGTAGGTTGGGAAAAAAAAGTTTGCATAATTTAATCTAAACAAAACTTATATGTTTAAATTAAAATCTGGTTAAAAAGATTGCATGTTAAGAAATCAGTTTTGTATTTTTCAGAGAACATAGTCTGAATCAGTCTTGTGATGCTTTGCCAATATCTCTAGCTTTTGTTAGAAAGCACAATCATGAAGTTGAGGTTATTGGGTACAGTAGAATAGCAGCAGTACAAGGAATTGCAAATGCATGTCTTGTTGAATCTGGTAATTATTATAAATTATAAGGAAATTTAAAACTCTGTTTAATTTTAATGTTTAAAAATATATCTAAATGCATGAAACGTTTTGGTAATTTTTAAATACAAGAAAGAATTAAAGATCTCTTGGTATAATTTAATACCATAGGTTATAGTTTAAATAAACTTGCATTCAAAATTCTTTAACAATACTACACCTAATTATCTTTTAATACCAACCATAAAGAAATCATATTATGATTTATTACTTACCCTTAAAATGTTATGTTCCCACATAGTGACATAGTATAAGCCAATAGCTTACACAAATATATTGAAAAGTATTTTTTTTTTAGAAAAAGTGTCCCTTTGTTATAAATTATAATTGTAACTATTTAATTGTAACTATTTAAAAGGTTTGTAATGGGTATACACTGGCAAAACTAAACAGGCTTATCCTTAGAAGTTTATGGTATGTGATTAAGTACTTAAGATGTTTCTTTTACTCATTGTAAAAATTATAGAAGAATTTGAACAATTTATCAGAAAATAAATTTTCACTCCCTCCATAAGGATGAAGTTCAAGAAATTTATGGGAACTAACCATTATTTTACTTATGGGCAGTGATAGTGAGAGAATCTCATCGAGGTAAAGGTCTGGGCAGGATACTTATGCAACTAACAGAAAATTATGCCAAAGTCAGGTAAAGTATCTTTGGATCATTTATAACATTCACAATTTTGATTGATTTATTTAAATACCGTAATATAGATTTGAGGAAAAAACATTTTAAAACCATTTTTTTTAAAATTTATGATAAAAATGAGTGGCACTGTTAAATGTGCTTGTAATTTTTTCTAATCAACCTTAATATTAAATTAATAAATGGGTGCCTTTGGCAGTTGGGTACTTTTGGTAAATTTTATGTCACATTTTTATCTAATTAATGTGAAAAAATTCACTTTGTATTACCGTAGTACAAACCAAAAGTGTTTTTTTTTTTTTAAAAAGGAATCTGCAGAATCAAAGGGTTAACCATTGATCTATCAATTAGGAAACTCACGTTAGATGTTCGTAAGAGTACAATATATAATATTGTCAATAGATATTTATAATCAAAACTCACAGACACTGTAAAATGTTGTTGCCACCATGATCATAATTTATTAAAGTAATATTGTACTGTAACTTTAATGAAATATAGGTAAAATAAACAAGTATTTGCTTTAATATGAAAAATCTTTTGAAAATATATTTTTATCACTTCAATAAAAATATGAAGGTGCAAGTTTTACTTTTAAGCTACCATACAAAAGAAATCCTCAATCTTTAAGTATTTAGAATAATATTTTTATCAATCATTTTTTTAAAAATTAGGTATGGTGTTAAAACTGTATATCTCAATACACTTGACCAGGCTGGATTTTACTCTAAAGTCGGCTACATTAAATGTAAACCAGTTATTAGTCTAGGAGCTAATGCAAATAGGCTATCAGAAGAAATGGTAAGCATTCAACAATAATTGGTTTTTTAAATCTCCTACTCAAGCTATTGAAAAAAAGAAATTGAAAAGGTTTAGTTTGTTACTATAAATTTTCTTTTATTTATCATCAGTAAGAATTATCAGCAAGTTTCCAATTTAGAGAAAATGTTATTTTATTTAATGTAAAAATCTATTATAATTTAATTATTAAATTATTGTATGCCAGTCAGTTTAAAACTTCCTATAAATAATACCAACATGTTTCAGGTACAAAAACTTTTAGGCTACTCAACAATCTCACCAGACAACCAAAATATTCCTGTGTGTAGTGGAGAAGGAGCAAACAAAATTCCTGAACAAAGTGTAAAGACAGACATAAGTTCAAACTTCAGTGATACAGTGATTATTAAAACTCAAGCCCCACCACCTCCTCCTCCCCCACCGCCACCTCCATCAAAACTAGAGTTAAGTTTAAACAACAGAGCTGTAGTGAGGATGAATCCAGATTCTGTTACTTGGATGAAAAAAGACTTGTAATTTTGGTTGAATCACAATCGTGTGTGCTTTTGAATTGAATGTGAAGTAAATTTTATACTTTAGTCACTTGAGCACGTTCTTTATTGAGGAATAAATTGCCAGCCTCATCGTCTCAGTCAATTATCCAATTATCTCTCATTATAGTTTTATACTGAATATATATTTATATATACATATATATTTTTTATTTTTTTTATTTTTAAGTGTGATAATAATATTTGCAATAAATTTAATACTTGAAAGTTGAATGTGTTTAAATTAAAAGATTTATTTATATTTTTTAAATGTGTAGAGATAATTTATACTGTGTATTGTTTTAGTGTGAAAATTAATACAGGACTGAACAGAAATGGTAACTTGAACTTTAGCAGTTGAAGAGTACCAAAAGGGTCATGTGATTTGGGCATTTAGTTCACATTGTTTTTGTAAATTGGATTATTCTTACAAGATTTTAATTAAAACCCCTTGATCACACATAACTTGCATTTTTATAATTTTCTTCTCTTATTGCATACACATTATGAAACTTTCGTAATCACATTACTGAGTTACATTAAAAACAAAAAAAACAAATGAAGAGTGAATGCCCTGGAATAATGTGGTGTGTAATATTGACACAACTCATTTACTTAATTTGATTTAAACTATCTTGGGTTTAAATTTAATAGAATAAAAGGCCATGAAATCTAGCAATTGTTAATTTAGACCAAATATCCAATTACCAGTTATCAATTAGAAAGGCTGTTACTAGTGTCATCCAATGATAGGTGCAACCCAATTTGCCTCTCTAAACACTCTCTTGTGGAGCTATCAGCTATCATGTTAAAATTTCAAGACAACCAACATGATTTAGGTGAAGAGAAGTTTTATGATTTATTTAACAAATAGCAATCATAAATGAACAAACTGATTTCTTGAAATGAATTTATAATAAAATTGTTTGTGTTAGATTTCTAATATTTATATAGCTGCCCTGCTCACTTCCATGTGTAGACAGGTTCAGAAGTAGATATGGAGCTTTGAGAAGCTATCATTCTTAACTAAGATTTGAACCTTTTCTGCTCAAAACTTCTTGCATTGCAGCCTATCATAAAGGACTGAAAATTAGATAGATTGTTATATTTTTACAACTTGTTACATGTTAACATTTTTTTAAAAATTGAGTTCCAGTTGCTTACACTCCTTAAAGGGATATAAAGTAGGTTCTCTAACTCTAATATTTCAATCAATGAATGACTTCTTTAACTTATTACCTTAGTTTTGAAATAGCTAAAATTAATTTTGTTCCAATTTTCTAAGAGACCTAAAAAGGTATTAAAATAATAAAGACAGTAACTAAAAGTTAAATTTAAATGAATTTCTGAAACTTATTTTCTTTTACACTAATATACTTTGTAGAATTTTTTAAAACCATTTTTGCTATTTATATATATATTTACCATATATTTACCAATTTACCATGCATAATAAAAATGACAATGAATTCTCTTAACTTTTAAAAGAGCTCTTTTTAATGCATTACACTTAGTTTAATTAATTAATTTCAATATATAAAACCAAGAACATTTTGAAATATAGATGCTCCATTTAAGGAGTGATTAGCCTTTAGTCTTAAATGAGTATAAAATGAGATTTTCTGAAATAAAATACTTAATATTCCAGTCACCTAGTGAAGATACTAAAATAGTCATGACTATAATAACTACTTATTAATGTATGAAAATAGGTATGCAGCATAAATTAGCTGCAAAATTAACATTTCTCTCTCACTTTTCTCTTGGTCAGGCCAATTTATATCTTTACAATGCAGCACCCTTAAGATATTTCATATTGAGATTCATAGCAAATTTCATTTTCTTCAAACTTTTTTTTTTAAATATGGGTTTAACTGAATAATTTGCAAAAATCATCAAACATTATTTCATATCAGTCAGGATCATTAATGTAACAAACATATTACCAAGAAATGTAGTTTAAAAAAGTTTCTGAAAATCTAACCACACACAAATATGATACACTTTTCTTAGTTTGCTAGGCTAAAAAGTTTAAGTATTTGCAATAAGATTAATACACCCGGCTGATGGTTCATTGATTTAATAATTGTGTTAGCCATAATAAATTATTACAGAATATGGTTCAGAAATATCCCAAATGAGACAGAATGAAGTCAACAATGCAAGAGTTATAAATAGAATAAATAATTTAATATCAATGCACCTGAAAAATAACAAGGCAGATATGTATCATCAAAATATATATCTATATCACTTTGATACCGGTCTCAGTCTCAGAAAACATAAAATCTTTTCCATGCTGATTTTAAAGAAAATCAAATCATTTTAGTAGCTCATTTTATATTTTCTAAAATTCAAACAAACCACTACTTAATGTATTCATAAGCCCTAGCCAACTGGTTTCATGAAAACAGCTGAAAAAATTTGAAACACAGATTTTATTCAAACAGATAAATGGTGTTGGAAGCAATCTGATTATTTTTTTTAAAAACATAACTTTTATAATTTTCAACATTTAATGGTCCTAAATAATAAAAATGATAAATATTATCAAAAAGAGATGTTATGAAAAAAATTAATCACACTACTGATAAAAAGTTTGGAGTATAATTCATGCATTGTGGGGGAAAATGTTAAAGTGAATAATTGTAAAAGTTTGTCATCACTTTGTTGCACTAAAACATTCTTATGGAAATTGATCGATTTTAAACAAAATAAATTTAAACTGGCATCAAGATAATGAGTGATCCCTGGATCTTTGATGCTCCACCTCCAATCTTAGTAATTCCTGCTCTAGAGCAAAAAGGTGTTGATCTTCAGCATCTGGTGCTATGCGTCTTAATGCTTCAGCCAAGTTAAAAATATAGTCTTTATTATGGCCACTAGGACCAACAGAGTGGAAAATCTGTCTTGCCATGTCTTCGAGAGGTGCAGGACCAAGAAAAAATGGGTTGTCCTCTGTTCCTATGTATAATGTCAATTTAAATGGGCTCTCATCTTCTTTCTGTGGGTAAAAGATTACCTCTGTCTGCTGGTAGCCACCTTTTTCTCTGTGGTCAAGGTGACTTTTCACTTCATTGACTTGAGCTGCTGGAATCTTGTATGCAATCCCCCAAACAGCATCCTATTTTTTTTTTAAATAATTATTGGAAATACTGATCAGAGCTGATTAGGTATTGCATCAGTTTTATCACTAACAAATCTATTACTATTATTATATAATTTGTACAAGACTCATTTCTTTTAGTTCCGATTTAATTAGATAATTAGGAGATAATGAACTTACATTTTCATTTTCAGATGGCACCAAAGTTGCGACTCGCCCAGGCTGTGGAGAGCAGTGTTTTAATCTCTTTAAAAACTTTTCTCTCTTTTAAAAAATAATTTTTTTCTAGAAATTATGCATCACACCATTAATAACTTAAATATTTAATCCCATCACATTATTATGCTGGTTTTGATAATATTAAATTTTTTATTAAGATTTGGCTCGTAGAATGAACAATACCGGTATATAACAATATAAGTTAGCTTTAATAATAATTTTACATAATACACAAGTATACGTTTCGGCACATGCCTTCATCAGCACAACAACAAAAATAATTAAATAAGTATAAATTAAATTTACATAATATATATATACACATATATCCTACCTAAAAAAAGGGGGGAGAAAAAATAGAAGTGGGCGAAAAAAACAGACGGAAACAAAGTAAAGAAGAATGGAAAGGAAGTGACTTCGAGTTAAAATGTAAAAAATTCAACAGGAAAAAGACATGGCAATTACATAAACTTGTGGATTTTGTTTATCCCGTATGGAGCTGTATGATAACAAGATTTGGTGTCAACATAACTTATTATCTATAAAACTATTTGGCCTAATTCTAATTCTAATTCTTATACCTTTCCAGGCACTCCACGGTGATCTTCACTGCCTTGCCAGAAGCGTCTGCAATAACCCCGGACATAGCCAGCTACTTTTTTTTCATATGGAAAATCTACCTTCCATATTAAAGAGCCATAACCAAATATCCACATTACAGCATTGATAGATGATGTGCAGCAATCTGAAATAAAAACAACAACATTTTAACAAGTGAAATCTTTTCTCAGCAAATACCAATGTGTAAATATTAAATATCATTAAATAAAACAGTTTCATCAAAAGCAAGGAAGTTAGTCGAATTTTAAATTTACTTAAAAATTATCTTATTTAACACTAAATTAAAAACAATGACTACATTTTCTCCATAGGCTTCTAGGAACTTAAAATTAAAATGTATTGCAATTTTTTACACAAATGCATATTGTAGGGCATCGATTTTCCAGATGCTGATTATCCAAAATGTCATTTATTTAACTGCCCCTGTCTCTTTTTTCTTATATTTTTTATGGCATGGAGCATTGGCATAAAAACACCAGAAAACAACTCCTACCCCTGTATAACTATCCAGGTAATATCTAGAAACAGACTCGGGCAGACTGGGATAATGTGATCTCCAAACTTGTTAATTAATATTTATCACAGCATACCCCGGTACATGCCTGCAAAGACAAAGAGACCTCTTTTCACAGAAACAACTCCATTCCTCAATGGGTTTTCTAACATCAATAAGTTGACCCGATACAACGTGCAGTGTGAGTATGGTTAATACATTGTACAATAACGCACCATCTATGCACTAGCTTCTTTAACACAACCTTTCTGTGGTAGTGTTTGGTTATCCAAAAATTAGGTCATCTGAAACACCCTGGCCCATATTATTTATTGGAAAATCAACACTCCACTATTTCATGAATTAATTAAAAGTTATGTATGGCTTCAAAAATCAAAGGAAAGAAAAAATGTAACGATTTATCTCCTGTTCAAACAAATGAATTTTGCAAATTTCTTCGTTGACCCCTCTAAAAAAATGTCAACTCCATACCAAATATAAATACTAAATAAGAAGTCCACCAAAATTTTTTATCCCATCACTGGCTGACTATGGCAAGGAATTATGATTAGAATCACCATTTTTTTAAAGTAGAGAATAGAGAATTTCATTGCCTGACTTCCTTGTAAAAAACTCTGCAGTTTACCACAAATGCTGCCCCTCCGTATAAAAATGTCACCAGGGCTGGATTGCCCCCTAAACACCCCCTTCTTACACCTATGCCACTGTAAGAACCCTGTAAGTAGAGGTTCAAGTACTATAAAAATGATAACTGATTGACTGATACTCATAAAGATAAGGGCTAGGGATATTGTTGCTGCAATCCTAACTTTAATTTTTAAAATGTTAATTAACGTTCCTATCTTTTTGTTTAGAAAACACAGTGTTACACAGGCATTATTGTAATTATTATAATTATTTATAATACATTTAATGGTTAAATTTGGTTATTGCTAAGTTTTTAGCCTATAGAAAAGTTATTATTAGGATTTTAGCCTATAGCCTATAGTAAAGTATTTCTAATAACTT